ATTAAAATTATTTTTATTTATTAAATATTATTTTTGAATTGCTATTTTTATTTTATATTTTTTTTTAAATATATATAAAAATTATTATTAAATTTTTTTTCACTTAGGCAAGATTGTGCTAATGACCTATGTTTATTTAAGTTATCATCTCATGGAAGACTTAAAATAATAAAACTCCAGTTCTGACATCCTACAGCTGCTGCTAATTGAGTGTCCATAGGTAACCTGCTGTACTGATGAGGTATAAATAATACCCTAACCAGAGGGCTTATCTGTCCACTACTCTACAATAGGATATTACCAATCTGATGACATCTTCTTGTAGAGAAGTGAAAGAAAAAGAAAAAATTTTTTAAAACAATACAGAGGTATAGGAGATAACATTAAAAAATACAAACAAGAAAAGAAGGGGTAAGGAGAAAATAAAAAAAAACAACTAAATATAGGATTTTTCATCTGCACTGAATAGTCATAATTATAAGCCTGTGTCGGGCTTTATAAAAATTATATACTACTATTTAAACTAGTCTCTACTCTAATTTATATACATAGCATATCTAAGATAAGAAAAAAACCCTGTGACAAGGTAAAAAAAATAGCTTCACTGACATTAGCACTGTAGAGAGGTCAGAAAGGTCAGAAATTTGCACTGGAGGTCTTAAATCATTGTTTGTTCAGGTTGGTACATTTGAGGCACATAATTAATATGTCCAGTTTTATATATATCCACACATATTTGTTGTGACAGGTAAAAATATAAAAAATGCAACCAATTTGGTAAGTAAACAATATATCGATCTTTTGGAGAGGGTAAACTAAATCACCCACTTTTTTACAAAATTTCTCTAAAAAAAGTGGAGAGATAATGAGAGTATGTGAGATTCTTCTGTAAGTTTTATAGCTATATAAATAATTCTTTAAGCTTCAATTATCTTAGCAAGAGTCTTTTGACTACTTCTTGTTCTCAGAATAAACCTTCTGGTTTAGATGCTAAATAACTTAGGGAGTCCATTCAATAAATTAGCAAAAAATATTTTGACCCCAAGAAAAACCATCTAAGTTATATATGCTTTTCAGTATATCACGTCTCTTGAACTTTATCGACAACAACCTACATTAAGGTGAAAACAGTTTCCAGAATACTCTTCTGGTTTGAATGCTGAATAATTTAGTGAATTCACCAGAAACAACAAAGTTTAACTCCAAGAAAAACCATTCAAAAAATGCTCACTTCTTAGTATTTCACGTCTTCAGACTTTGTTGACAACTGCTTTACTCTAAAATAGAACTGAGAAGTATCTGTCTTGGATATTCCTATATTGTTTTTCTGTAGTTCAGTTTTCTGTTGTTGTTCAGAGAATTATCAGAAAGAGTACTTATATAAAAATTATTATTATCATTTATTAAATATTATTACTTTTATTATAATACTTATATTTTTTTAAATATATATAAAAATTATTATTTTTATTTATTAAATTTTATTATTTTATTATTAATTATATTAATTTTTTGTAGCTTTACAAATTTTACTTGTTTATTTAATATTAAGATTAGTTATATTTTAATTAAAACTAATATAATTATTATTTTTAATATTATTATTATTAAAATCTTTAAACTATAGATTTTATTTATTATTTTAAAATATGTTATTTTAATTATCTAACAATGTAAATTATTTGTAGCAATTATAATTTGTATCAGCAATTGTTACATAATAGAAAGTATGTTACAATGTTTTCAGAATCCAAAAAACAAGTTAATATAAACACTTAAGGAAATCAAGAAATAAAGAGGACAGAGTAAAGATCAATGTCTAGTTATTACTTTATTATTATATATTTTTTTAATTTTGATTTAAGAATATAATTATTTTTTATATTAATTCTTGACTTTTTAAATAATTAATTCGTGATTCGCGAGGGAACCAGTGAAAATTAGTAATAGATTTTGGGGAAATTTTTGCAGATCATTTATAAAAAATAAAAATAGCACATTTTTGCTTCATATATAACTATTCTAAATTAAATTCCGGTTTTATTAAAATGTAATACAGTAGATTTCGCAAAACTACAAAAATTAGGTTTTAACTTTATTTTTTAAAAAAATTTAATTATTTAGAAACTTTTTATTGGTGAAATGCCAGATTCCGCCTTCTAAAACTCAACTCTATTTTTGCAATTCGGGTACGTACGTACATAAAATTTTATTAAGCTTGGCCGTAAAATTTCATTTGTACTGTTTTTTGCTTATGTTGCATCACGTATCTTGCTATCCAACGTTGAATAGTCGATACTTGAGGAATGTTATTTTCTTTCAAATTACCCATTTCTGCTAATTCCATTAATTCCTTCCACATTTCTTCTGCACTATATCTATCACTTTTATTGGCATTACCAACCAAAAAGTACCCCTCCAAATAAGTTATTACGTGTTTACTAATTCTCTTTCCCGCACCTTTTTTCTCAAATTTTTGATTTTCTTTTAGTGTCCAACCCAATTTAAGTAGAAATGCGTTTTTATTAGTGGCAAGTTACATGCAACTTTTATAAGCTTTTATACAGTATATTAGTTACAAAAAAATTATGATAATAATACGAATATTACCTTTTTTCTTCACTTTGTAGTTGATCAGCCATCAAGTAACGAGAAATTATTTCTAAAAATATAGATCAGATAATAAGAAAAAAATTATAAGCTAGATTTCTTTATAGAAAATTTCTTAGTTTCATGAGTGTATTGTACACGGGTATTAATTTGCAAATCTGTACAACAATTTTTACGAAGAAAAAAGTAAATCTCGCTCAAACTTAGAGGTAAAGTAGGTTTCATAATCGATTTTTTAAAATATAACCAATTTTTTAAAGAAAGCAATAATTTTACGTTATACCAGATCTTATATTCTGGTTGGCTTTTCTTCATATCCGTGTATATACACATAGTGTACAAATAGAAATTTCCTTCTTTATATATAGTGACCTTTTTTCGGTTTGTAATTTGATGCAAAAAAATAATAAAAAAAGTAATACACTACTTGATTTATGTGGTAGTGGGACAAGCCATGGAGATTTTGGGATTGAATGTTGGGAAATTTGGAAATCTGGTTTTTGTATTTCTTTTTTTTTTAGTTGCTCTAATTTTGCAGGCGAAAAATTATTCCATTCACCAATATTGGGCATTGCACGTGCTCGAATATATCCTACATAATCACCATCACATGGCCACTTCCATGAAAACCAGTTTGAGTTACCAGGTAACATATTTATTCACTTTTTGTCTGAAACTAATAAAAGATTAGTTATTTACTAAAGATACTGGTGTGGTAAAATAACTTCACCACTATTGATGAAATTGGTGTTGAATTGGTCAAATTTGATGAAATTTGATGAAATTCGATAAAATTTGATGAAATTAATTTCACCAGCATTTTTATATTCAATATTTTAGGTTTCATGTATTTAATACCTTTAATAAGTTCTGGTTCTAAGTAAGCTACTGATGTTTCACAAATTCCTTCGATTGCTAATTCAATATCTGATCCCTGCATAATATCAAATCCTAAGCGAACACGACGATTGATTGCATGTGAAATCTAGAATAACCAATAGTAAAAGTAAATTGATTGAATTGTTAAATGAATTCTAATTTTAACTCATGTTTATTATTTTTTTTTAAAAAAAAAAAAAAAAAAATTAGTAGGATAAACCTGAGCGTGATGAGAATTAATTGTTGTTTTGGCCTCTCCGGCTTCGAGAAAAGTCCATTTTCTAACATGAATATCGTACCATTCTTTCCATCGCCCCATTATTATCATTAGATCTGCATTATGATAATGGGGCCCATTATCTGATAAAAAAGAAACCCATTCCGGTTGGGGATCAAGTTCGGTTATTGCAGCATGTAACGAGGAAGCTGTGAACTAAGCGTCTTGGCGTGAATCTGTTGACCAATGGTCAAAGGCATGGACTTGTAAATTATTGTTATTAGGCAGGCAAGTATATATCAATACTGTGTGCAATAACCACCTTTTTTTCCAAAAAAATCTTGTTTTGTTTCGCGTGCACTTTTGGGTAAAATTTTCATCTTAAAATCTACAACAATTACAGCACCTTTTTCATCAAGTTCACCTAACTGCGTATTGAATTGTGCATTTAAATAAACTTTCCTGGTTTGATGTGCCAAATAATATAGCAAGTATTCTTGTAATTTTTTTAACTCAATATGAAGGTGAGATGGTATGTGTTCTTGAATTTGTTCAAATAGATAAAAAAAAACTCCACAATGATTACAGGTTAGATCGTGCAATTCTGAGCAGGTTCCAAAAGCATAGAGCATACAATGATTAATGCACAGATCATGTTTTATATAACCAAAAAAATCAACTTTTAATTCATTTTCATAATCTTATTTTAAATATCTTTGTAGGTTATCACATTCGGATAGTAATCGTTCCTTACCATTATTTAATTATGAATTAGTTAATATTAAAGGTTAGAAATTCAAACTTCTATATATTAAATGATATATTTTGAATATCATTCAATTTGCAATCCATACTGTCATATGATTTCATGGACATTCATGTTCACGAAATTATATGACAGTATGAATTGCAAGTTGAATGGTATTCAAAGAGTATTATTCGACACGTTGGAGATTTTAACTTTTGGGTATGTAATTTTAATATATAAATTTACCTGATAATTCCAATCTGCATGGCATTTTACTAATGTTCGAAGTTCGTCAAATGTTTCATATCTATACATATTACAGATCGAGCAAAGACCACCTAAGTTTTCCTTATATATGTATTGACCTCCTCGTAAATATTTATAAAATGTTGTTCTTTTAACACCGTTAGGATACTCTTTTTGAAATCATTCCCATAAAGCCTCTTTATTATTTTTTAAATAATGTACAGATAATCTAGTAACACTATTCGTCTTGTAAGAACTCATTACCACATTTGCTTTGTTTTGAAAAAAATACTCAACTTGTTATCTTTTTTCAGGTGTTAACCTTTCTAAAGTAATCTTAGGCTTCTCTAATTGGATACCTCCTGGACCGTTAACACGAGCATAATGACGTGCTTCAGTAATTAAATAATTTGAAACCTAAGATAAATATTCCGTTATTTAAATTTTGGTTCAAACATTTTAACATACTAATATTACTTGCTAAATACTAACTGGCAATTTTTTTTTGATTATATCATAAGAGAGTTTTTCAGCAATAACAGACAATATTCTTCCTTTCCATCAATTCTACGAGAATTAATATCCAAAGCATCCCGAAATGCATCCCAAAATTGATTTGCAATATTTTTATAGTTTTCTGGAGCAGTACAAAGATATCCACATTCATATAACTGCTTTAGCATAGCCTGGTCTTTTGTCGAATCTTTTGATCGAGTCCAAAATTCAAACTACAAAATAACTTTAAGGTTAGAACTTTATATGTTGTGCATAATATCTGTGCTATTTTAAAAAATCCAAAATCTAATAAAAATCTGTATTTAAATTTTGATTTGATACAGATTTTAATCTACTGTGCGATATAAAGTAAAACTTTTAAAATGTACTCTCCTCGAAATTATAGTAGAAAAAAAGCGAAGCATGCACTTAATGAGAGTATGTAGTTATAGAGAGCAAAATATATAGTACTCTTATAAGTTGGGACCAAGCTATACTGCACATTTAGAAGGAATTTACATGGAGTGTGCACTTATAGAACGTGCATTTTGAGAGGTTTTACTATATAAACTATGCTTTTCTAACACATGTACTTGAGTAGGTATACTGCATAGAAGAGACTTGACCTTAAATCATTGCAGGTACAGCTTATGAAATACGTATGTAGAAGAATAAACAGAGATTTATTTATTATCTTTATTTTTATTTTAAACAATTACCATAGATTCTCTTCCAAAAGGTGTTATGTTAGTACAGCCCGTATATTGTAATAGGGCTTTTCATCCACGCAATTCACAATCTTTAATAGTATAATCCAGTGGATATATCTCTTTTAGTTTCATTGTTAATTCAATAATATTACTGTCTTTGTTTTGCCAGCTAATAAAAAATTTTTTCCATTCAATAGATGTGGTAGTATATTTTCTTAGGTGATAATTGAATAGCTTATTCATCATCTGTTCATTTTGCCAATCTTCTACAGTACAAGATAGGGTTAGTTCTTATTGATTTCTGACTTCGTTCGTTCGTGTTCAAGTCCAAACAGCATGCTTCCAGTAAATTGTGTTAATATACCAATTTTATTCCAAACAGTATTAGGGTCAGTATCACTGAAAACATGAATTTCTTGAAAATTTTGATAGATTCTAACGATTGCTTCTTTATGATTAAATTCCTGAAAAAATACTGATCGAATTTTGTGAAAGTTATGCACAAAAGAGCTTTGATATCCTTTTCCAGCATAATGCCAATTAGGATCATTCGATTTGCCAATTCCTGAAATAACCAAATTCAAATTTTCAATTTTAAATATATAAGGATGAAAATAAATATCAATAAATAACATTTTACATATTTCTGAATCATCATATCCCATAATTGAAAGACCATCTAATCTAGTTTTTGTAAAAAAAGTTTGCTGATATATTGAAGTAATAGCCTCTGATGAACTTTTACATACATTACTTCACAAAGCTTCAGATTGGCATATATATTCAGGATCAAAACCATTTTGAACTACTGTAATGATAAAGTCACGCTGATTTACTGTCGTTATAGTTTTCATACCAAGACGAACTGGATAGAGGAGTATATACATTGCATCATTATTAGTTGGGCGTGAAATCCACTAGTCTTTAGCATATGATCCAAAATGCAAATTTTCTATAATTTCACTCCGTGATATAAGTGTAACTTTGTATTTTGACATACTATCTCATTTAATGAAACACGTTTAAAAAAGAAAAAATTGGTTGAGTTTCTCTATGCTCGCTAGGTTTTTTACATGAATTACTTGATAAATTGCAAATGTTATATTCAATAGCTTTTATTTAATAATATAATGAAACAAAAGTTTATTCTTTATTCAACACTTTGTAGAAAACATTCACTATTTATAAAAATACAAAGTTTCTTCAGATAGTCACATAGATGCACAATATAACGCCTATGGGTGTTATTCAAGACCGTAAACTTAAAAATGGTCTTAAAATAAGCCCAAACCAAGATTCTTTAGCAAAACGATGCAAATGAATGATATTTCAAAGCTTCTGAACTTAAAACCAGATCCATGTTATTTCGAATTTTTGATCTAAAATGGTGCATATAAATAAATTTTTACATCAATTTAAACAAATTTGGTATGTTAAACAGATACCAAACTCTTAAAATTTGCCATAAAACTTTAAATAATGCTTTGGATGAATTTTAAGAGTTGGGTATCCGGTTTGAGATACCAAATTTAGATAAATTAAAGTTGACAAGCACTTATTTTGTTTTATTTTGAACTAACTCATGTGAAAGTACCCGAAATAATATGCAGTAATAAATAAAAATAGTATCAATGCCATAGTTCTCGCGATTTCAAGATAAAAACTTGAATGCACTTTACACATTATATTGCACTACGACATCTAGAAAAAAACGGGTTTTTTTCTTTATCAGAAAAATTAATTATCTGCATACATCAATGTTAGTGTTGGCGTGTTTAAAAAATGTTGTTTACTATATAAAAAAAAACTTTTTTTATAGTAGGAATGAGCAGATTCAAAAAACGACTAAAATTACATATGTAGATTATCTCCAATTTTTATTATTGTAGATCACTGGTTCCCTCGCGAATCACGAATTAAGTTTTCTATAAATAATTTTTTTATTAGAAGTTGAATAACCAAGTTTCAAAATTTGTTGCAATGTGCTCTAAAATCAAATAAATTAAAGAATTTATAAATATTAAAAGTTTACATTATTAAATCTTAATTACTCCAAACATATAGAATTATTATCCTACAAATATTAATAAACATTTAATTAAAGCACATTATATTAAATAAGCATGCATTATTTAACCAGAATAAATGCATACTACACATAAAACACATTTTTTTTCAAAATCTATTTTTGTTATATCTTCATCTATAGCTTAGTTCACATCTCCAATTTTATAAAGTTTATAATCTGCTATTTGCTTTAGAATATTTGTATTTTTATCAGTTGCAATATTTTTTTCAGATGAATAATTTGATTAATTAACTTCTTTAATGTAATTGGAGTATAAATAACAGAGATGATTCTTCCAAGCTTTCTAATAAATTTCCTTGCTAACCTATTTCTTTCATTACTCAGAAATACTATAAAAATTATAACTAATCTATTACCATCTATATCCAGTGACTTTAACTTTAGTGATGCTTTCATAACTTCTTTTTTATTATCTTTATAAAGGCTAATGAATGCTATATTATAAGCAGATTGATTATACAATTCTTTATATATTTGGGCAGCTTTAATGTCTTCGTTAAAGGCATCAAATGCATCAACTTTATTAACAAATTTAAAATATTTTATCATAACATTTCTTATATTTTTGACTAGGTGAATTATTAATATTCATTTTTTTCTTATAAAATTAGATATTGTATAGTTTATCTGTTTATCATATTGCATTTCTAATAATGAAGATGTTGAAAGTCTTGAAATAGTTAGTTTTATCAATGATAATAGTTCAATATTCCAAGTAAACCAAAATTTATTTTCTTCTTCTAACTGGCTTTCTGCTTTAATTTCTCCTCCATTAATTTCCACTAGACTTTTACAAATTGAAAGACCAAGTCCAGTACCATCTTGTTTTCTAGTTATTGACATATTACCTCATGAAAAACTTTTCCAGTCATATTGTATAAATTCAGAATTCATGCTATTATTATTGAATAAAATTAGATAAAATTCATTATAAAACATTAAATATATAATTATAAACAGCTTACCCAATACCAGTGTTATATAATTCAATTAACAAAATTTCTTTTTTATTCATTTGACTATAAGTTGAACTCAATTTGTTTTCTTCAATAACTTCATTTGATAACATTAAAATTGTCAGTACGATTTCACCTTGTTCAATAAATTTGATTTTAAAAAATTAATAATGAATTACTAATTTATGATAAAAACTAATCATAATTATGTAAATATCATTACAAATTTGATAATAGATGGTTTAAAACTTGTTTCAGCCTGTTTATTATAAAAAAGATGATAAGAATTTGATTTATTTATTTTATAAGATTAATTAGTCTTAATTCCCTCTCAGGATCACTCATAACATATCTTGGCAGTTTATCTATGTCATAATTTACAATCAATTCAATTTTTTTATTTTCTGCTTTTTCTCCAAATGTCTCAACAGTGTCATCAAATAATTCTAATAAATCAAATGTTCTATTTAAAAGTGTGATTTTGTGTGCTTCTAATTTTGCTACTATACCTCAAGAATATTATTTACTATCAATAAAACTACATCAGAAGCACATGTCATGATACTAATCATGTCTATTTGATCAGTAGTTAAGTCAGCACCTTCAAAAGAAGTAAGCATTCCTATTATTGCACCTAATAGTATCCTTAATTCTATAAAATTTAAATTAATTAGCATAATAAAAATGATTTTAGAAATATACATAAAGAAAATAATGTACCATGAGAAGTATTTGCTAAAATTTGACTCTTAGTATAATTTGCAAATTCAACAGCTTTAATTTGAATTTCCTTTTCAAAATTCTCTTCTACTAAATTTATATGAGTAATAGATAAGCTTATTTGATTTGAGATTTGTTGTAAAAAGTCTATTTCAGAATCAAGCCAAATAAAATTTGAAGGTCTGTATACTTTTATCCATCCCCAACAAGCACCATCTAGCCTTACTACTGCGGATAATATGGATACATTTTACAAACATCATCACAAAATACATCAAAAGAAATATCTGTTCCTGAACCATTATTTAAAAATTCTTTTGAATTATCAAATGTTGATAATTCACACTCATTTGCACTAAGCTCCATAGGCGAATTTTCCAAGCTTTCATATAAAGCAATTATATTATTGCTCTCAGATTTAGATTGTTCATTTGAAATATATAGCGACTCTTTCCATGGTAATCTGTGATAGACTTCTTCAGCGACATATTGTAGTGTTTCCTTAATACTTGATCCAGAAAAAATTTTAGTCGATATTGAAAGTAGTAACTGCTTTATTTTTTCCTGCTCAGATTGTTGGAATATTATTTTACGCCGAAGAATTGATCACTCAAGATTAGTACGAATACGAGTAATTAGTTCACGAGTAGAGAATGGTTTTACTAAATAATCGTCTGCTCCTTTA